ATGATATGAATAGTGGTGAAAAAGATACGCCTCAAGAACAACAATTATCTCCACAAAAAATATTTCGTATGAAAATGCTCAAAAATATTTTCAATCGAAAGGATCAAAATAATGATGAATCTTTATCGGAATTAAAAGAAAAATTTTGAAACAATAACTTTTAATTGTATAAGATAATAAGACTGAATAAAAATATAATATATACAAATTGTTCTTCTTCAATTAAAGTAGAATTAATTGATTTAAATTACATCAATTCATACATAATCAATCATATTTAGAAGAAAAAATAACGAAAATATAAGTATTCCGATTACAATCGATAGTAATTTATAGGAAAAAAGGTACAAATAAAAATATGATTCAATAGTTTAATTAAATAAAAACTCGTATTATTGGATGTGAATATCTACCGGATCACTCCTACGTATTAGCTGTCTTCTTAATTTTTAATATTGTTAATGCTGCTAGAAGGGAAGATGATATATATCAAAATTAATAATGAGGCATTTACATGAGTTGCATAATAGTTCAATGCAAAAATAGATGCAACGGATACAAATATTCATTAATAACAGATAGGTCGAAAGTTTTAATTTTTCATTTCTTTGCAAGTGTTTCCGAAGTATCAAAAGCTATTGATTATGACCCGAATTTTGTGCTCTCCTTTCGAACATGACCTTCAAATTTCTCTTCAGACTAATAAAATGATCTTTTGAAAGGCCCGAAAATAGATCGGACGGAAAATTTTTCTGTATACGCTGGTGCCTTCATTATTTCAACTCGGAAGTAAATACTTTCATTAATACATCAGCTTGTAGAGTAGAAGCTATTTTACAAAATATACTAATAGATTTATTTTTTTTTAAAGATCATTTCAATTAGCCTTTCTCTTAAATCCTTATTTTTTGAAAAATTGACTTTTTGACCAATAGGCCATTGGTATAGCAAGGAACTTGCGGCGAAATTTCTAGAGTTTCACGTAAGTAAATGCCCTAGCTTAGTTCAATATAAAACTGTACATCGTTTTTAGGCTTAAGTTTTGCATAGAATTGTCTACTAGTAAATATTTCAGTCCGCGTCTAGCCTTAAAAAATAATATTTTTAAGGGCATATCTAAAACAGACCTCTAGGTGTCAGCTTTGATTCTTTTAATTATAATCAACAGCATCATTACTTTTACAAAGATGTTAGAAACGTAGAGAATAAAATTATCTTGTTATTATGAGCAAATACTTTCAGTTTAGAAAAGAACTTGATGACAGACAAATTTACGAAGTTCAATTGATATTCAGTGAAAATATCGGAAACTGAAATTGTACAATTGAATATCTGTTAATCTGTTCAATGTTTCATGGATAAGAAAACTCATCTAAAAATCCAATCCGAGAGTTTTGACATGTTAAGAATACTTTGTCTATTGAGTACAGAATAAAATCTTTCGAGTATGTGTCTAACCGCTTTCATATTGAAATTATGTTCGTTTTCATGAGTACACTTCAATATTTCAAAATGAGACATAGTCTTAGCTCCTTGGGAATGGGCTACGTATGTATACGTAATGGCTCTGTATGAACTCATCAGTCACTCATGGATATCTCTTATGATATTTTTCTGACAAAGTAAAGAAAAGAAATCGCAGAAGGTGAGAGCAATATTGATGCATGATCATCATTCTCAAACAGACCCGAAGAATATTGTAAAAGACATTCACAAATGAATTATGAGTACATGCAGAACTATCACATATATATATGCGACTCATCTCCAAGGAGTTACTATTTTTTTTCATTCTAGACCACTACAATGGATCACAATTATTTAATAATAAAGATTATAGTAAATGATTTCTTTGATTTTCACTATATTAAATTAGTGTTTAGCATTAGAAATGATTTTTTTTTTGTTTTAAATCATATCATGTTTGCTCTTTCCCATAGTTCTTGTTCACATGTATTCATCAATATAGTAGGCGGAAACGAAGCGTAAAAAAATCAGAACAAGGTTTTGCTTCGAAAAAAAATTTTTCTCTGGTCTCAGTCAGACAACGAAAAAACGAAAATCTTTAAGGTCGAAGCTAGACGAAGATCGAAAAAAATCTCTTCCTTTTGAACTCAAGTTCAAATTTGTGCTAAAACATATTTCTGAGACATAATAGAATAGGATTGAGATTCAATTACTTATTGATCAAATTTGACTTGGCATTCTGTATAAATATAAAGTTTCTTTTATTGGTTCAGGTATAAAGGTAAGTTTAGATGTCAGTACGACTCAAGGGCATCCTTCGAAAGGTAATAGAGAAAAGGTTATATTTGATGTTTGATTAGAAAAAGTTGAAAAAACAGAAAAAAATGATTGTCGTTTTCCTTGAAAAACGAATACAGACTCGAATTTTTATTATCTAACTATCAGTCAACCAACACTCAATTAAGTATGACAAACTTTTTGTCTTTGATTATTATGATTAAATAACACTATCGTAGTAGATTGCAAATCATCTTTAACAAATCCTTAATGCATTATCATTCACTTCTTCAATCTAACAAAGTGTTTTAATGGAAAAAAATAACTCAAAGAAAACCATTCTGATCTTACATCAATAGACAAATATATTTGTCGGAGTTTCACCGACACGCTTTAAAGTCTACTTGTATTTTCCAACTTTTCAGTAGTACATACAAGACCGTCTATAGCAGTATCAGAAAAACAACAACAATTGATAAACACAAAAAGAATGCGGAATACAGATAAATGAAAAAAAACAAGAACAAACCACACACACGAACAAACTAACCCGTATTTTATAAGATAAATTCATATTTTTTTTTGTAATAAAATACGTTTTCTATTATTACCTTCTTCTTCTTTATCTTTTGATGTCTCTATCCAAAAAAATCATGCTTAGTTAGATATACGAATAAACAAATGAAAAGTACAACAGAAATCGCAAAAAAAGAAAAAACAAGAGTTAGAGAGAAAATTTAAGTCTTATAGAAATTTTTTTAATTGATTTTTAATAGATAAAAAATTCAAATTTTTATTTTTTATTCTTTATCTAATTTCCATCATCACGGTCATCTTGTTGACTTGATGGATTATTATTACCACCACCACTACCACTGCCACTTTGTCCATCACGTGTGTCCGGTTCAGGACAATCACGTGCAAAATGACCTGGTTTCGAGCATCGATAGCAATTACCTCCGCCACCACCACCGCCGCCACCTTAAACAAATAGAATAAATAAAATAAAAAATCCTATAAAATTTCTACTTACCTCGACTACTACGGAAACCACCACCACCATAATTATTCGAACGTGGTTCAGCACAATCACGACTTATATGTCCTAAAGAAAAAAAACCAACAATTAATCTTCAATAAAAATACTATTAACTAGAATTAAATCTAACCTGGTTGATTGCAATTATAACATACACTTTGTGTACTATCCGATGGACAGTCACGAGCAAAATGACCCGATTGATTACAACGATAACTAAAAACAATGGAAATAATATTAAGTAAAACTAAATAATTATATATCTTACCAACGAGTACCTCCTGATCTATCATACGATGAACCACCACCATAACCTCCACCACGACCTGAACCACCTAAAATCAAAAACAAAAAGATAAAATCATGCATAGAAATTTTTCTTTTCATCTTTTCAAAATCTATGATTATTATTATTTTTTTTTCCTATTGAATTTCAAAAATAGCCTATGAAAAACTTATTATCTATTCGAAATCAAACACTGACCATATGAACCACCTCGTCCTCCATATGAACCACCACCACCACCGTACGAACCTATAAAATATAAATTCAATAGTTGGAACGCCAAAATTTTTGCCATGTCAGACCTCGTCCACGACTATATCCACCACGTCCACCTTTAAAAAACAATGTTCAAATGATAGTTTTATTGAGATAATCTATTGTTCTTACCACTGCCACCACCACCATCACCATCTGGACATTCTCGAGCAAAATGACCTGGCTATAAAAATATCATAACAATGAACAACTTAACAAATGAATTTATTTAAAACCTTACTTGATTACATTTGTAACATAAACTAGTTCTTGAACTCATTTTTGATGTTACGTTTTCCTTTCGATGTTAATTATTTTTATTATTATTTTTTTCTTCTACTACGTCACTCCTCTACGCTCCCCACTGCCTTCAACACCAACTTGTCTCCCTAATCTTAAAAAAAAAGAAGAAAAACATCCATGAGTCATTTATAATAAATCTTTTGTTTTTTTCTTAATCAAGGTCTTCAAAAAAAAATAATTTTTATTTGTTAGAATAAATTCATTGTTTATAATCGAAGATTCTAAATATAACTATTATCATTACCCTTGATAAATAGAAAAAAGAAATTCTTATACATTCAATTTTGAATGAAGGTCATGTTACATATACATATCTATATATAAATATATAGAGGCTATAAATCTTTTTGCTTCTTCACTGTCTAGTCATCTCTTATATTCTCTGACTGAAAGAAAAAAAACGAATAAAAGAAAAATGTAAACGAAATAAAACAATAAGGAAAAAAAATGAAACTAGAATTTAAGAATCTACAATAATAATGTCATAAATAGTAACCAATTGTAAGAGATAATAAATATAAAGACAAACAAAACAACGCAGTGTAACTCTAAATATAATCATACTTTTGTGCCTTCGCATTCATCTCTGTATTATAAATGCATTTGTGTGTTAAAAATATATATGAATGATAAGAACTAACTTAATGGTTAGATCGATAGACCATTCTCTGAACAAGACAAAAGAAAAAAAAAAAAAAAAAGAAAAGAAATTTTTGTCTTTGTATAAAATTCGAAAAATTTCGCTTTGAAGAAAAAGTAAACGGAGATAGCTACATGTTGAAAATAAAAGAATATATATAATCTTTGATATTATTTAGATTGTTTTTTTTTCCTCTAGTAATCTAAATCATAAGATTAAAATATTTCAAAATAATGAGTTCAACACCAAAAATAAATTGTTGTTTAATATGTTCAATTTTATCATCATTATCAAATGTAAATTGTTGTCCAAAACATTTAACATTATTAAATAAAACATTATCTTCAAACTTATCAACACCAATTATTTATATGATGCCTTCAACAATGAATGATTGGCCTAAATTAGACTGTCATTGTCGATCACATTGTTCAAAATCTAAACGACGTCATCGATCTAGTTCATCAAGTTCATCATCATCATCATCATCATCATCAGAATCATCATTAAAGTCTCGACAGAAAAAGAAAAAACAAACAATTGTAAGGATTTTATTGAATAGAAAAGAAGATATTAAGTAATGTACAATTTTTTCTTCTTCATAGGATACAATACATAAAGATAATGTTACACATTCTCCAAGTAGAGAAGAAAATACATCATTTAATTTAACAACTCGAGAAATATCATCTGTTTACCAACAACATCGATCAAATCAGTTAGTATTGAGTTTTCTTATATAGAAAATGGAAGATTTTTATCATACAAATGAATATATTTCAGACTTTTTTTTTTCGAACACTTAAACTGAATCACGCAACAATTTGAGGTCAAGAAAAATAATGGTTGATTGTATATATTAACCTTATGGTTATAGGAATTTTGCTCATGGAAGCTTGAAATCGGCTATATATATACTATGGGCAGTCGAAAAGTTCTGAGAATTTTCAAAAAGGACCGTGTTGGATTTGGTGACCTACTCAGAATTAGTAAATCAAACATACCATGTTGTAGAGCAAGTCGAGGCGCGTCGAATGGTATATAATAAATCTTGTTTTCAAAAAATTCTGAGGAAACCAGACTGGATTTATCGATAAGTGGTCATGCATTCAAAGCACTGACCATTTTGTGCCTTGGTATCAGTTGAAAGTATTTGTAAAAATAATTTTCCTATATACAATTTTGTAGAGTTTTTCACGAGCTACAAGGTTATATACTTGATACTTCGGATCATTCTATTTTTGATAAACAAAAAATGCGACATTTCGATGACCCACTATCGTTTTTCACGGGTAATGCCTGTCGGTAAGTCTTTGAATGCATGGCTGCTCATCAGTAAATCTAATCTAGTTTCCTCAAAAGTTTTTGAAAACAAGATTTATTATATACTATTTGACGCGCCTCGGCTTGCTCTACAACATGGTATGTTTGGTTTATTAATTCTGAGTAGGTCACCAAATCCGACACGATCCTTTGTGAAAATTCTCAGAATTTTTTGGCTGCCCATAGTATATCAAATGATAACAACCGATTGCGTTAAAATTCATTCAACACTATTCAAATTTAGTACTTGTAAAATTGAATAGTGTTGCCCAAAACCTTGCAAAATCCGTCGCATAGTTCCACTAATAATCTTATGGCTTCATATCATAATATAGATCAAACAAAATTGAACCAATTTTATGGATTGTTGTTAGGTTTCATAGGGCATTAAACAATGTTGCGTATAGAGACTATAAATTATCATGGACTCTTAAACCTAGTTTTTTCTTCTGCACTTGATACACATTGATAATGATATAAAAAGCATTAAGGAAAGAGAAAATACTCTATGAATGAAGGAAGATAAGAGATTGTAAAAATCATAATCTGCTTAAAAGCTGAGCTTATATATATATATACGGAATCTGTAATCGAAGAGTTAAAGCTTCAGGTTATCTTCATTTATATTTACTAAAAGTTGAATAATGTACTTATTCATATGAAATCTGAACGTTTACCCTTCATAGTCAGCAGACCATATGATAACTGAGAGAAAGCAGGGCGATTGTCCTTCTTTTAAAGTTTCTCTTGCTTCTAGCATTTTCCTCTGAAACTTTTCTTAGCTGGTATTCAGTAAATTTCTCGGTTACATATATTTAACAACTATAGAAAAGATATGCATAAAAGAAAACTGTCTCTTTAATTTTCAGAAAGAATCATCGGTTTTCTATGATAAAGAAAGTTTTATTGGAATATTTAAGAGTAATAAGCCTTTTTTATTTTAACAAAGAAAATGTTTCATGTCCGATTTTTTTTTTTTATTTGTAAATACTTTCTCCTTGAAATTGTTTCTTTACTGAATTAAATTCGAATAAAAAGAAATTGTAAAACTTCGATAGATTCATTTGATTTTCTAAAATTCTTTACTCACAGTACCAAAATCGTCATTGTTTTAAAAAAAGCGCCAATTTAAATTTTACATTAAACTAGTTTTCTCTCCAAAGTATAAATCTTAATTGATTCTTATTCTAGTGTTCGAACTCCATTATCACCTTTATTTCCATCATCTTCATTAATCAATACAAACATGAATAATAAAATTAAAAAAGTACGAAAGAAAAAGAAAACTTCATCTACTCCAATTGCAATTAAACACAAGGCACTAAATATTGATCACATGTTAGTATATAATTGATTATTTATATTGAAGAAATGTTTCATTATATATTTGAACTTTTATTATCATAGAGAATCGGTAATGCAATATGAATCTGGTCAATTGGCTCCTCAGCAAATAAGTAAAGAATTACAATCTCCAGGTTTGATTGAATTCTTATATTTAATTTTTGGATGAATTAAGTAGACAAGATTACAATCGAGAACTAAACTATCTTGATAGATAAATTGGATAGGAAAAGTTAAAGTAGTATTTTTGAAATATCATCTATTTTCTGCAAGTTTTAGAAAGAACATACAATTGATTATAAGTAGTTGAGTACCAGTTCGAGTGGTAGTTTCGTTAAATTTTATGCAATCATGGCGTCTTAGAACAAACTATTTCGGAATTTATTCGTATTAAATATAAAAGGTATTCAATACTTGAGTTTTGATTAATTCAACCGATGAATATAAATTATTTCAGTCATTACTACTGAATTTCGCTTCGATTAACGTCGCCAATAAAAGATTTCGCTAATAAATCATAGAAAATTTGATTGCAATTTTTAATTTCAGTTTGAGTACCCTTTTCTCCTGTAGAAGAATAGCTCTAACTTACGGTATAAAGAACTGTCTAGTAGCTAGATATTTGTCTTATGAATAATACTAGCTATAGTTCTGAACAAAACGTCCACTTAATGCAGTTCCCTGTAGACACTAGCAAATCATAAGATAAAAACGTAGTCAGCATGCTATTGGATTCAATAATCGTTAGTAATGGGTTCAGGATTATTCCACGGATGGTAAGAAAGAGGTTGGAATGCAGCATCTTGTGAATACATGTTGAGCAACATCACCATAGTGGTCATTGTTTCTTATAATTCCAATACTTTTTCAGTTTCTTTTGGTTCCAGTTCAGCACATATCTATTCATGAATATTTATTATATAAATATTGTCTTTTTATTATTTTAGTATATACTCCACGTATTCTTTTAAATCGTGTTGTTCATGTTAAAGATGAAGGTGAAGATTTATTTACTAATAAACCTCAAATAACTTTAAATATGGCTCAAGCAACTAAACAAATGATTCTAAAAAGAAATTTAGAACCAAGAATTCTACTTGAACGTGTTTCTTTATAACCATAGAATGATCAATAATGATTAATGATCATCTAGTCAATACAAATCATAAACATATTTCCTTATGTTGTCAGTCATATATATATCTACATATAAATATATACACGTTTGTGTTATCTCTATCTACTGTGAATAATCATGTTTGTTATGCCGAATTCTTGCCTGTTCTTCTTGTTTCTTCTGTTTCTGTATGGATTTCTTCTAATTCAAAAGATAGAATATAGATCTGATATGAAATAAATGGAAATAAAGCATTTTTCAATTCAGATGTCAAATTTGGAAGAGAAATTAAATATATTAAAAAAAAAGAAATTAACAGCAAAAACAATTGTTGAACAACAACGAAATGAAATACGTTTATTAAAATCGACATTAACAATAAATGAACGCTTAGAAGAAATTTATAAACGATTTGATAATAAAATGAATATCGATAATAATCTTTATAGTAAAATTCTTCAAATACCAAATGATAAAAATGAAAATTTTTCTTTGAATGATCAAATTCATCGAGCTACTGAAGATTTATCAAAATTAATTGAAGAAATTCTAATCATACTTGCAATTAATAATAATAATAATAATCATATTCATTTAAAAAATCATGAACTTGATATTATTTTAAAAAAACAAAAAGAATGTTTTCAATTAATTAAATGGAAATTATCAGATATTTATGCAAATCGTATTGCTGATGAAGTGTCTTGTATAACAAGTTAATCATAAAAAAATACTAGATTTTCTTTTATTTTCAGATCGAATGGATTTTAATAAAAGAGACAGATTATGTTTTGAACATTTAAATTTACCTTCAGGTTTACTTCTTGGTTTGTATGCTATGGGTTTTCAAAATGGTCCGTCAGATACACAAGCATTGATTTTACCTCATTCATTATCTGATCAATTTCAAAGAAATATTATTGTACAATCGAAAACTGGAACTGGAAAAACGGTAGATTATTATAAAATATGTATTGTTCGTCAAACAGAATACTTATAAGTTGAGCAGTTCCTCGCTAGATTTAAAGCGATGATAGGTGCAGAAGCGGGACTACAAGAACAAAATTTGGTCTCTTATATCTCTATTCGTGACTGGCACATGAAAATAGGAATATTCAATCTTTTGTCTTTCATTAATAGAATAATTTAAGATGTGTTGAAAACGCATTGAATGATTTTTATTTCTTGTCCTTTGTAACTATCGTTTGATGTCATTGACATGAAACATATACAGAAAAATATTTCATATCTGAAATATCTCTTCTACAAATTTTTCTTAATGATAATTTCCAAACTTCCGAATGATTTATACTAGTATATGTCTACAACTGAGTTTCGAGATTTGTAAAACACTTTATATTCAACATAAATAAAATGTCATGTATCTCTCTAGGACAAATATCAGTTATTGCTTCAAATATTATTGAAGATAATCTTTCTCAATGATTTAACTGCTGCTCACAACTATTTTTCAGTTTGCATAGCCATAAGTATAGAAGTAATTGACTTCTTATCTATAAATTAAAATCTTTTCAACAGAATATTGTTCGATTTTGCTTTGGAAACCATATAAGATAAGAATACAGTTAATGATATTTCAACATCATCGAACGAGGGAACCTTGTAAAGTGATATATCTATCATAAGATAAATCTTATCTCCTTAGCTAAATCCAATAAAGAGTAGAGAAAACCTAAAAACATTTGTTTGCATAGGTTTTTGTTTTTAAGTTATGGCCATTTCAATGAATTTTTCAACGAAATTCTGTAGTCTCTCTCTTCCAGATCGCCTTTATCATCAAATTTTTTGGTTTCAAGTAATAACTTTGCACGAATAAAATTATCAATCTTGACTCATTCATTGAGAGTGTAGGAGATTTCTTAGTATCGTTTATCATCAGAGACCAAATTTGAAAATTTTCTTATCCGAAAAGCAAATTCTATTCTTATATTTATATCTCACATCAGAAAATACCAGAAAAGCTAACACTTTCAAAATAAATTCTTTCTATTGAAAACTTTATTGAAGCAAAATTCGAACTCATGAATCGATTTAAGGATGATCCGAAAGAGAGTACAAAATTTTGTTTAAAAAACTCATTAAAATGACCATAAGTCAAGAAGAAAAACCCATAAGTACAAACCTTTTTAAATATTATCTATATTGACTTGGTCTTACGTAAAGAGATAAGATTGTTTTCAGTATTATAAACAAACCTATAATAATTTTCATTTTTCAATTGGCATCTATATGAGAAAAACATTTTTGACGTAAATCAATAGAAAGTTGAAGCTCGTTTTGATCTCTAATCGTTTATTTTTTTAAGGTTTCCTACATCATACATGTTCTTGCTCGTATTCAACCTCTTCTTTCTCAACCACAAGCTTTAATCATTGTACCTACTGTTGAACTTGCTTTTACAGTCGGATCTGGTATTGAAAAAATGTCAATTTATCTTCCAAATATTCAAATCACATATGCAACATCTTCTCTATTAACACAAACATCATTTAATACACCTATTATCATTGGAACAATAGATACATTTGATTCATTTCAATCATTAATAAATTTTTCTCATCTTGAAATGCTTATTATTGATGAAATTGATACAATGATTATACGTGAAGATTATCGACAATCTTTACTTCATCTTTTGGATAATTTACCCTTAGTAAATCATTGTCAAATACTAGTTTATTCATCAACATTATCTGATCAAATAATGAATTTTACAAATGAACTTATACCTAATTCAATTTTAATTAAACAAAGATCAGATAAACAACAATTAAATAATATTGAACAATTTTATATTATGTGTCATGATGAAAATAAAAAAGATATTATTGTTAATATTATATTAGAACAATTTATCAATGTACAAATTATGATTTTTTGTTCTGATGATGAAACAACAGAACGACTTTATCAAAGAATTATGATTGATAATAAAAATCAGTATGTTCTTCTATTTTAACAAAACAATATTTTTATGTCAAGTCAACAACTCATTTTAAACATCTATATAGTATCTGATTGAATGAATTAACTTTAATTTGTTGGAAAAACAGATCATACTGACCTTTCATTTGACATTGATTCGTTACAAAGATTATTCTTCTGAATAAGTTCTTTCAGTATAGACAGATGTGTAAATGTTGGCTGTTTTAGATGATTATTAATTAATAAGTAATTAATAAATATCTCTTTAACTATATGAGACAAAAAATCTACAAGCTTCATGTGAACTCTACGATATCACATCTATAAAAACTAATTTTCTAGATATTCTGTCAAGTCTTGAAATATAAGTTTTTGTCTTACTACCATCTAATTATTCTTAAGAAGGATTTGGTACCATTTGGAATTACTTTTGAGCTTTATATTTGATTAAAATTATTTAACGTACATGTAACTTACAAAAATCAGCTCTAGAAAAATTTATTATTTAAAGAAGCACATGTTTTAATTTTTCGAAATCATGTCGCTAACGAATGTTTTGATTCATATATCAGAATTATGTCTAAACAAAGAAAATATGTATTTCATGTTTATTGACAACATTCTACTTTTCTCTCTATTTTTATATGATTTTAAGACAACTAATATGTTTAAATCTATGCTTTTACGAAACGAATTTAGAGTGCTTTTTCTCTTAATGCAAAATTCTAAATATTTCTAATTACAAGTTGTATCATAAGTCATTTCAAATTCATTCTTGTTAATATCAAAATCTAAGTGTTAGACAATCTTCTATATAATAGTTCACTATAATTACTTCAATGTTTTTCGTTATTTTTAACTTTTATTCACATAAATAATTCATTGTTATATTCATATCTTTATATAAGCTGACGTTTCATAGTGTTGAGTACAACGAAAAGTTTTTTAACGAATAATGTATTACTAGGAGGACTATTTTATTTGATGATAAGGAAACAGCTGTTAGCATAATCTCTATGGGATTAAAATGTGAAACACAGTGTAACTTATGTCATTAATTATAGAAAGATTGTTTGATTCTATCTATTTTGGGATGCATTTCTTCAGCATCTTCTTACTTTATCCTCTAGAAATCGAATAAGGAAGTAGTTCATATATTTTAATGAGACGCAATTGATGTACGATCTTTGATTGTGTATCAGTAATGTTTGCAACAATCTGTGAATTTGAACTTTTTATCCGTATACTTCAACGTTTCTTTTAGATCATGTTTCTAAGAATTATATGATTAAGGTAGTAATAGAGTATTGCTATGTTTCTGCTTAGATGTTGAAAAAAATTTAATATTTTTCTCATAAATTTTGAAATATTCATTATATAGAAATCATCAAAAATTTCTTTTTATTTTTTCTATTTAGAACTCGAATTCTAACTACTAGATTTAATAATCAACAACGTGTTTCATTAATCGAAGAATTCCGTTCAAATTCATTTCGAATATTTCTTTTATCTGCTCAAACATCTGCTACAACTCATGGTATTGATTTAGATCATGTTAACATAGTAATCAATTATAATTTGCCTCGTTCACTTGGTATTAATTCTGATCTTGATTATGTAACTTATCATCATCGACTTGATCGATGTGGACGTTATGATAAACATGGTTATTTGGTAAGAAAAGAAAAGAAAAACATTTATTTATTTAGATTAATTTTTAATTTATTATTTATAGTTTAATTTAATTCAAACATTAGATGATTGGAATATTCAACTTGGTCAACAAAATTATTTTTCTTTTGTTATCAAACAAATAGATATTGATGGTATTCGTGCACTTGTATTATAATATTATGAAATTATATCTGTTCATCGATATTTTGTTGTTGTTTTTTTTTTTGTGATATTTGTTTTTCATTTTGTTTTGCCTATTCAAATAAAAGATAAAATGAACTGTGATTGATTAAATCATGTTTTTTTCTTTGTACTCTTATAATATTTTCATTTTATGATCATTAAAAATCAAATTGATCAGTCGACCATCGATTTGTGAG